ATAAAGAAGTGAAAAAATTTTTTTTCAAAGGGAGTAATTCTGGGGTAATACTCAGTAGTATAAGACCAGGTATCACTGTACCTTATAGTCCTTCATTATGCTTTTTACATCTACTGTATAACATAACATTCACTGAAAAGAAAAGAATATTTCAATCATTAGCTGTGCTTAGAATAGAAAGCTATTTGTTTAAACTGCTGAGATACATAATTTTTAAGATGGGTAACTATACTGACTTTGATGGCTAAGAATTATTTTTTTTATCATATGTTTATATGTCATATATAGGTTTAACAGCTTAGAAGTCATACATAATTACACTGTGATATGTGTTAGAATATACTATATTTTAAAATATCACAAAATTTACAAGATTATTAATCAATAATGAAGAACCTCCCAATTAAATGCTACAAACCACCACAGCAAAACAACTGCTAATCCAGAAAAGAGGAAGTAAGGGAAATGGAGGATGTATAATAAACATTTGGGAGATATGAAATTTATCCCATGAGTGTTGTAAAGAGTTCATAATTTAAGAATGCCAAAGCCCAAGTGTGTTATGAGGGTCTTTCCTCAAAAGTGACATTAATTGCATATCCCACAGATGCTTATTATGTATTCTATTTATATCAAAGTATAAAATGTAGTTGAAAATATACAGGTTCAATATATTTAAGGGTGATAATAAAACACAGTTACTCTGGCCTAGCAAAAATTGTTCTTTTTAAACTTTAATTTTTGGTCTCTCTGTAAAACAGTATTATGGTACTAAATGAAAATGGTATTCAATCTGTATACTTGAATCTCTTGTGATTGAGTCTTTAGGGCTCAAACAAATACATACTCAGGGATGGAACTGTAACACTGTATTTTAGAGGCTTCTGCAAAAAATAACCCGTAAGTGATGAAACACAGGACATTCTTATTCTCATACTAAAAATGAAAATGCCAAAAAAAGCAACTCTTGGGAATTACCTTGGAAAGTTGGAAATAATATAGTCAATGTTTACTTTGGATATTAGTCAGCATGCATTGACAGGCCCCTACAGAACTTAATATTTTGTAAGTCTAATACCCATTAATAATTGGCAAACAAAAGACAACTCAAAATATTATTTGAATTAAAGCAAGAGAAACTTTGAAGTGCAACAGGAATAATCTTTCATAAAGTTAATGAAAAACACAGTATAAATTACTTTTAGAAAGTGTTATTTTATAATATTACTTACATGGAATTGAACATTTAACTTCAAATTAATTTTGTTTAAACTAAACAGCAGGTTGATTGATTTAACATTTTGTAAGAGGAAAACCAGCTATAATTATCCAGGGGATAATGTACTCAAGTACATAAAATAACAGCATTAATAAGCAAATTATTATATAATATACAAGATCTCATGGGTAATTATTCCCATATTTCAAGATAAATATCATCAATTTATTTAAAATTAAGATAAGCTAATTTGGAATGACTTTAGCCAATGTTAGTACAATTAATATTTTTACACTAATTAATTCTAATTTTGTTAAATAAATTTATTACCAAAATTTAACAAATATGTTTGTATATGGCATATCTGTCATATCAGGACACTTCCACATATAGTTTCTTACAATAACCAGAACAAAAACTATTTTTAAAAATGGAGTAATTACAAATCTTTCTCTTAGTGATAATTATAACTATATCATAATGCAGGTTTTTAATAAAGAATTATTTATTTATTTTAGAGAGAAAGCAAGAGAGAACCCATATGCATATGAGCAGGGAGAGGGGTAGAGGAAAAGAGAGACAAACTCCAGCGGACTTCATACTGAGTGCAGAGACCGAATGGGGGGCTCCATCCCAAGACCCTGAAGTCATGACCTGAACCGAAATCAAGAGTCAGATTCTTAACCAACTGAGTCACCCAGGAACCTCTACAAAGCAGATTTAAATAAATTTTAATGTACCATGCAACTGCTGAAGAGTGACTAGAATATGAAACCTGGAGTCAACAGGATTATAATTTCATTTTGCTATCACTTTCTTCACATGTGATAAACACATATTTATGATTTACTTCCCATTCTACACGAATTGTTAATACTGATAACACTTCCCACTGACACATCCATTACTGACATTTTTATCATGTTGTTTTCTAATTTTGTTACAGTATTTTGGTATATGAGAAAATACTTGATTGAAAATTTAAATTCTGTAAGAAAACAGCTGGCATACAAAAGCACATTTTAGATGGTGGAAGTTATGGATTCTGATGTCATCCTAAAGAGTAATTTTTACCAACTGAAAATTGATTACTTTTATTTGTCCACTTGAGAATAAAGTACTCAAAATGCTAGCTTATTGTTTTTAAGTATTAATATTGAATGTCAGCCTAAATTACCAACTTTCTTCCAGCAGGAATGGATAGTACCATCAGCAATTATTTAGATGAATATTACTTGTATGACATAAAACCAAGCATGATATTTCATTTTCATGAGGTACAAACCTACAATATTTTTTTAGATTTAAGAACACAAAATTATTGTGACAAATTGCTGTAATCTGTTTCTATAGAAGTTTACTCTTCAGCTTCTACACTGTCTAGTTAGAAGCACTGGTCTAAGAGACAGCTGTTATGTTTCCACTTAAGTAGAAGCTCAAATGCTTTCGTGAAGAAACCACAAAAAGCCAGAGGTGGAAAGGTTCACGAAACACATACTACATCATATTCACAAAGCCATGACATCTTAATTGAGTAATGGTAATGCCAGATAATGATCACAAAAGTACTGCTAAACATATCTTGAATGCTTACTACATACTGAGCACTATGATTTTTGCATATTATAACTGAATTCTCATCAACACCCTAAGAAGTAGGTACCATTACATTTACTCTTCATTTCACATATGAAGAAACCAAGGATCAAAGTGGTTAAACAGATCTACTTCATTTCAAAGCCTGTGCTTCTAACTGCTATTTCATATTATACTCATATTTTTCCTCTGGCCCCCAAAGACTCTAAAAGTCATCAATAGGAAATATACAGATGAGTTGTACAACTGAAGGTAGCATAAAGACAAAGGAAAATTTGACCACATGTATCCCACAAATAGAAATAAAACAATCAGATTTAGTAAATGGAGTAAACTCCATACACTATAGTAGAGACCAATTAAGAGAATGAATGACTTCTTCAAAGATGAAAAAAAATGTATATTTTTAGTTAATGCAGAGGAGATTCTATACTAAAATAATGGGATAATTGAGTCAGCTATGGTTACTGCAAGCCCTGGTATTGTTAGTACTGCTGAAAAATAAAGTTGCAAGGATTAAGAGTGATTATTTCATGGATCATAGAATTTTATTGGGAAGGTGCTGGTGGGATGTCAAAAACCCCTATGAATCATTATGATGAAGAGAAAGCTGATGGAAACTAATGTCTAAAAAGGAAACTGGAATACAATGGTTTATAAATCATCTTACCCGAGTCCATGCCACCAGCCACAGCAATGTAAAGCACCAGCTCAAAGGAGGTAATAAACAATAAAGCATTTCAAAGAAATGATAAATATGTCCAACATTAATTTCTTTCTCCAACATTTAAGAACAATATCTAGAGTTTAGTGAACAATTTTTGAGGGCGTAGAATGGGTTTTTCTATTTGAATAAATCATTTCTTTGAGTGCACAATGGAGAGGAATACAGACTTCATCTCCTGACCTTGCCCTGTCTGTTTTAAAGTAAATTTTTATATCTATAATCACAAACACATTAGTCAGACTTTTAAGTGTAAGTGATGATTCATTAATAACTTGCAATACTGCCCAATACCCATGTTACCCACAACTTTCTCATTTCTAGTGGGAATGATGGAGCTGCTCTCAATGATGAAGTCAAGCTTAAGTCACAGAAATGAAAATAAGCACCATTAAAACCACAAAGCAGGCATCTTTACTCACAGTTCAGGGCTTCCAAAGAAGATAGAAAGCTGAGTTATAATTAGTGAAAGACTCTTACACATGAGAACATAAAGAAAACACTCACTGATATTCTTTTCTTTGGGCTAAATAAATAGCCTCTGCTCTGGTCTGAAACCTTTGACTTGTTTAAAATTCTCTGTAATTCAAATAATGAATTCATATTTACTGAGCACCTATTATATATATCTTAATAATATCTTCTTAGTTTTCCATGTTCTATCTGAGGGATGAAATTGAAGAAAATATCTACCAAGGAACTGCCCAGCACTAGCTATAAATGTTCTACTGCTTCAATATAAAGGATCCTTTTAATATCTGTAGTGCTACACAATTAATTCGTATTTATTAAAACTGTAATCTTTCTAATTTTTCTACCCACCCTATTAAGCCACTGAATAAGTACACATACAAACTGACACACATATCTGAGGAGTGACTGGCTCCCTTTTCTTCTGCTACAGCATGCTACAGAAGTTACATGGCTGAAGATGATTACCATATTATGTTCACGATGAGGGACATTTATCTTACTTTTAGAAATGCACTTCTCAACAAAATGGAAAGAACATGAATATCCTACAGGTTTGTTTAGGTTTGAGGCTGGTTTCATGTGTGTATGATCTGTGTGACCCTGAACTTCTTAGAATGCTTGGCTTAATGATCTGCTGCTGTCATTTTGAAATTCTTGCTAATTTTTTTTACAGGGGACATTCATTTTTATTTTGTGCTGGGCTCTGCAGATTATGGAGCCAATCCCGCCTGAATCTGAATTATGACTTCACTATTTAATATGTCTAAACGCAGTTTCTTCCCCTGTACAACACTCAATTAACAGGACTGGTGAGAGTATGAGACGAAATATGATATGTGAAAATAGTAACACAGAGCCTGGCACATAAGACATATGAAATGAAATGGAGCTGAAACAGTTCTGGTCTTACTTCTGTGGATCTGAGACATACAGAAACCACCATAAGTCATAATTAGATACAGCTGAAACTTAAACTTTGGTACTTACAACCCATATATCTGTGGTGCGATTTCTAGCCTGTTCAAGTGCATATATAGCTCAATATCATGCTTCTTCAGTAGATGATCCTGGATCTGGTTGACTTTAGTAACAATAGCAATTGTTGGCCCCAAATCCTGTGGTCTAGCAAAGGGAATGGGAGTCATCAGTGTTTCTTTCCCCTAAAAAGAGAAAAAAGTAGAGCATGTGTTATTTCAATATGAAATGAACAAGTATGTGGACCTCATTCTTGAATAACCAGTAACTACCTTAATCATCTCATGACAAATGCTTAAATTGTGGAATCATATGCTGATCATCATACAGATGATTGTGCTCATAAAATAAAGGCCAGAAACTGTCTTCTGAAATATTTCCTACCTTATTCCCTTGACCGGTTTCTCTGGTGACATTAAGTATTTCAAGGTAATTTTTGCTAGAGGTAGTGGTAGCTGCTACTAGTCTAGAGTTAGTTGGTCTAATCAGCCATGGGACCTAAATGGAATGACTCTGATAAGATATTTCTTGTGACATAAAATCTAAACATGAAAAACAAGAAATGAAAACTGTTTTACTGTTTTACTTTGAGCTCTCAAAACTATAAAAAAAGGCAGGAAATAAAGGAAACTAGTATTAGAAAAGAAGATATTTTCTGTCCTTTGATCAATTTAAATAGCTGAGTAGGAAGATTTTTAAACTCTCCAGACCAAAAGTACAGCTGAGTTTAAAAAACAAACAAACAAACAAACAAAAAAAAACCTATGTAGGCTAACTACTACAACTTTCCTTCCTCCCCTTCCAAATCCCACATTAAGAAAGATGTACCTGTACTGCTTGTAATGCTTTAATGTAAACTTCAACCACCATCTCAAGTCTGATGATTTCCCCTAATATGATGTCTAAACTTTCTTTTTTTTTTTCCCAAGATTTTTTTACTTGTCAGAGAGAGGGGGAGGTGAGAGAGGGAGAGACCGAGAAGAACAAACAGGGGGAGCAGCAGGAAGAGAGAAGCAGGCTTTCCAATGAGCAAGGAGCCCAGGGACTCCATCTCAGTACCCCAAGGTCATGACCTGAGCTGAAGGCAGACACTTAACTGATTGAGATACCCAGGCGTCCCTATGTCTAACCTTTCTAGGTTGAGTCCTCAATTTCTACCTCTCTCCAGTCTTGAGATTTATAGCATCATTCTCTGATGACTGCCTGCCACTCCCTCACTCAACTTCTCTAGCTCAAATTTTTGTTTTTGCTTTGCAAATGCTGCTTTTTCATAGAGGTCTGATCCTAGTTTAATTCTCTACTTGCATGTGATTCCCTGAGTGATCTTACTCATACACAGTACTTCAACCAACACCCATTTTCCAAAGACTTCCAAATCTGTATCCATAACCTAGAACCTTCCTGGGTTCTCTCTTATACATTCGTATGTTGGGAAGGAATCCTGGGTTACAAAAGGGTCTCCAATTCAGCAGACCCACTACTGAGCTTATCACCTTCTGCTCAAAAACATGTTCATCCTTTCCCCATGCCTACCTCAACCCATCCACCAATAACAACACACACTTTGCCACTTTTAGCTCCTCAGAACCACTCAGGAGACTCTTACTATGTCTTCTCTCCTATAGCTCTACTGTTATAACCTGATTTGGGGTCCCAATCATTTCTTTCCTCCTAACTGGTCTCACTGCCCTTAATTCAGTCTGCTTTTAAATCTAGCTTCCAAAATGCCTGGTGATTCATCTAAAACAGATATTAAATTATGCCCAGTTGCCCTCCTTAAAACTTTTTAATAGCTCCCACAGGAAAAACAAAAACAAAAACAAAAGACAAATTATTTTTTTAAAGATTTTATTTATTTATTTGACAGACAGAGATCACAAGTAGGCAGAGAGGCAGGCAGAGAGAGAGGAGGAAGTAGGCCCCCTGCTGGGCAGAGAGTCAGATGTGGGGCTTGATCCCAAGATCCTGGGATCATGACCTGGGCTGGCAGAGGCTTTAACCCACTGAGCCACCCAGGCACCCCAACAAAAGACAAATTCTTGAGCTAGGTCTATAAGGTCTTTCATTATCTGGTTGGTCTCTACTCTTACTGTGCTTCCAGAGATCCTGGGGATGCCATTCTTTAACTTGAAATATCCCCTCCCCAGTGTTTCCATAGAGGAGCTTCCCAGTGTTCTTAAAGATCTGGCTCAAGTGTCAGGTCCTATTTCATCATCTTCTTCTTTACTACTACAGTACCTATTTCTACTTCTCTGGTTCCTAAACCATGAGATCTGTAAAAGGAACATCATCTTATCATCACTGGACCACATTCAGGGGCACAAAATAAAGAAAGTAAAGCTCTTGCCATTGTAGTCTGGAGAGGAAGACTATACAGAAAAAAAAATGTAGAAATCCGCATAAGATCAATGACTAATAAGGCTCATAGAAAGAAAGAGGAGAGGAGGGGCATGAGATAGCATTAGGAAAACTTTGCTGGAAGAGGTTCCATCTATCTTTCCAGGATATAAAGTCTTAAAAAGAGATGTAGTCCTTAGTACTTGCTACAGTGTCTACACCAGCATCTTCAGGTCTGAGGAACGTAAGACCATACTGATTTTTTATGGCTCAATTAGTTTCTGCTAATTTATATAAATAGGAGGAAAAGATACCTCTGCGTTGTGGTCATTTATTATAAAAATAGTAAAACCAGGATACTATTTTCTGGTTTTATAGTATCAAGTATTCTCTTCAAATGACAGGATGCTGTAATTTAAAAAAAAAATTAATTCTTGCTCAAATTTTTTCCTACTGATATAAAATTAAAATAATTTGGGGGAGTTCATGTTAACTGTAAGACACCATTCACATTCAAGAGACAGTGTTTACTCTGAAGCCAACTTTCCTTTAAAAATGAACAACTCAACTTTTTGCTTATTTTAGTTACGTAGTTTTTCTTTACTGAAGAACGTTGTGCGGCTGAATACCATACTCTGTGGGATGAAGGCACTGAGCTCAGGTAGGGTTTCTAACAACCAGGTGGGAAACAGATCACTATACCTAGTCATCTTCTAAGGGTCTTGAATAAACACTCTTCTGTAGAGATACAATCACTGGCTTTGGAGAGAGCGAATCCTAAATTAACCTGTTAAAAAGGTTTAATTTAATGAAATCATGTAATCCATTTCCAGGTTGAAGAGAATGAGTTGTCACTAAATCAACAGCCTATGTGGTTCATTTATCAAATACTAAATGGAGACTCATGTGTAGCTTAAGAACTACAGACTTACATAAACTGTAGTTTGAAAAGATTTCCCCTGTGCTCATAGTGCCAGTCCACAAACTGTTATAAGGATTCAGCGAGATAATTCTACACCACTATGTAAAGCAACACACTGCTTTCTTCATGAAGAAAGTCTTATGATGGGAAGGATGTCTGCTGACCTAGGCAGCACGCACAGTGATAGAACTGAATTGTCAAGGGAACTACAAGAACTTAAAGAGAGTAGTATATTCATTTCTCAAACTTCTTTTAAGAAAGGTGACAGAATCAAGACATAGAATAAAAAGAGGAGGATGAAAGAGGGATTCACTACATATGCTTTATAGAAATGTATTATTCATTGATATATGCAAGTAACATAAATGTTCAGAGGTCACATCTATGTGTTTTTTCTTGATAAAATGAATAAATATCCTTTTTTATGCTGTCTCAGCCATTTTCACGAACTTGACTCAGTGATATCAACATGAATGGGTAAAACTGAAAATTAGTAATGCTCACATCTTTATCATTTGCTTTTGTAGATACTGTGAATCAGTTATAAAATACAAAATGACCACTGCATAAAAAGATCATGTTTTTATTTAAATGTATTCAAATACTTTTTGCTCAAAATTTTGATTTTTCACGTAAGTCTATGACTTCATCAATCGCCTACCAAGAACAAATATAAAGTAATTGTTCTAAAACATGGCAGTTCATCAAATATGCTTATAAGTTTTACCTCTACTAACCCTTACCGAATGTAACATGTTGATATATTACAAAGACTTTATTACCTAGGTTGAAGATCAGCAAATTTTCTCTGTAAAGGCCAGATAGTAAATATTTTAGGCTTTATAGGTCATATAGTTTGTGCTGAAACTACTTAACTTTGTAATGAGCCATTATAATGAGCAAGCAGCGATAGACAATAAGGACACAAACAGGCATGGCTATTTCCCAATAAAACTTTTTTATGAACATGGAAATTTGAATTCCATATAATTTTCATATGCTACAAAATATTATTCTTCTTTTCATAGTTTTTTAGCCATTTAATAATGTAAAAGCCATGCTTAATTCCCAAGCTGTATAAAAACAGCTGGCAGGCCAAATTGGCCTGCCGGCAGTAGTCTGCCCTGATGTAGACCAAAGGCATAAAACACATTAGTTATCCATTTCATTTTTTAAGAGATGGAATAAGTGACAGAATAATATATGGTTTCTAAGCAGAATGCAATCAATTGTACCAATATAAAATAAATTAATCATATGGAAAAAATATACCAAAAACTCTTAATGACATCCCTTGCCAGAATAATTGGCAATTTTTCTAATATTGCATAATAATAATGAAAACACTATATGATCTCTAAGTTAGCATATATGTTTGTTTAAAATGTCAGTTAACTCAGTAATTCCACTCCTAGAGAAATGCCAAGAGCATTGAAAACATATGTAGACATGAAGTTTGTACACAAATATTCACAGAAACATTATTCTTAATAACCAAAAAGTGAAAAAACCCAAATGTCCATCAACTGATGTATGGATAAACAAAATGTGGTATATCCACACGGTGAAATATTATTTGGTCACGAAAAGGAGTGAAGTACTGATGTATGCTACAACAGGAATGAACACCAAAAACATCATGCTAAGTGAAAGGAGTCAGTCACAGAAGGCAACATATTATATGGTTCCATTCATAGGAAATGTTCCGAATAGGCATGTTCATAGAAAGGAGAAGTACATTAGTGACGCCAGCGACTCTGGGAAATGGAGGGAATGCAGAGTGACACCTAATGAGTATGAGATTTCCTTTTGGGGTGATGAAAATATTTTTGAATCAGGTAATAGCGACATTTGCATAATCTTGTGAATATACTAAAAACTACTAAATTGTACACTTTAAAGGTGAATGGTATGGCATATCAATTATAACACATAATAAAAATTACAGTTAAAAAAAGTAAGAGAGAGTAAATGATAAATGATGGTATTGAAGCTAAATGTGTAAATTCTGTAGTGACGTATTAGTAAAAATAAGATAGCCTATTTCATACAGAGTTTGTCTATGCACTTCAGTAACAAAATGTCTATCAACTCACACGTGTAGCAACAGATCAGGCAGAAAAATGTACCTGTCATTCAAAATTTGTAATAATTTTTCAAGTCAGAAGCTCTATTGCACAGATAATATACATATAAAATAAAATTCCCGTTTACATGAAATTTTTTATTTTACCTTTATATACCTGCCAATATTATTAGCAATATGGCTTAGATCCCCAATTCAATCTTATTCCATAGATTTTTAAATTTGGGGGTTTTTTAATAGTAATAATTAGATGTTCCTACTTATTGAAATCATTTGTTCCCTCAAATATATTGAAAAGATCTGTACTGTAACACTTACCTTTTGACCATCATGCTCAAAAGTAGAAAACCAAGGTTCAGCAGTTTCCATAAGCTGTGAGAACATTGCACTAAAAATTAGAAAAATAATACAGTACTAACGTTAAACCCTCACTGAAGTAGAGATGGTATAAAAAATTAGAATAGGAAGTTTTTGTACTTACTAGGCATCATGTTCCAGATACTCAGGGTTCAAAAGAGTTTTCATTTCCTCACTTAAAAAAAGCAATACAAATAATCAAAATGTATAATTTCTTAGTAAAAGGGTACGCAAAAGTTGCCTTATTCTATACTCATAAGCCAATTTTCATACAGTGTGCAAATGAAAAATCATCCCTTCTAAATAAAAAAGCAATTTCATTAATAAATGAAATCTTTTCTTTCTATAAAGATCAAAAACAAATTAGGTGCCTTGTCTATACCACAATGAACTATCTAATTACTCCAAATAACCACTACAAAATGTGACAATATATTCCTTGAATGTGCCTGATCTAGAATAAATTGATTACGCCACAATCTGTCACTTGTTTTCCAAAATAAAACACTTATTTACCGGTCAAATATATCCTATCAGAATATTATTTTCTTTCAATGGCTTCTATTTTTATTATATTTTAACATCCATTAATTAGCGATAATACCTCTTTCAAATCTATTTTAGTGTTGCTTTTACCTTTCAATGGCTTGAAAAGTGCCAAAACAGCATGTCCAACTTATTTAAAAGCAATTTTCAATTATCTATACTTTCCTGTGAAGCATATTGTACACACAAGCTTTTAAGAAGATAAAACTAGCATGAAAACAGGATCCCAGGACTAACTTCATCCTTACCATACTTTAGAATAACTGAAGAAAGGGTAATTAAGATATGGTTACTCTAGTCAAATGCACAAACTCATATTTGTATAATTAGAGAAACTCAAGAGAAACTAGGAAATACTAATCTATAATATAGTAAACAAAGGTTAATTTAACAAAGGCTCTAATTTATGCTTAGCAAAATGGATGGCTATATTTGATTAATAATTGTAGAGATAAATACATAAAATGTTATGTGTTAATTTTTTATGTTCTGCACATAGACGGGTTAACCAATGGAATACTTTTTGACAAAGTTTTATCATCTCACAGTCTCTAGTCCCAAGTTACTGGCTGGCTGCCTCTCTGGGCCCTCAGTTACTGCATCTGAAGTAGAAATAAATTCTATAAATTAGCCTAAGTTAAATATAATTACCAAAGTTACTTGCTGTAAAGAATAAATTAATGTATCTCAAAAACATGACAAGTTATTTTTGTTTATTTACAAGACGGGGGTTCATGACCTGAACTCAGTGAAACCTCGTGGGGAGAAAGGATCTCACAGACAAGGTTTTCATACAACCAACAGTGAAAGAATCATTAGAGGATGGTATATATGAATATCATCAGTCATTAACACTTTGCCGTCTTAACAAAAATTTCCTCTTCTTGATCCATTAGTTATATACCTTCCTTTGGCACAGATCTAAGATTTTCAAAGACATTTATGATTCCAAATTTGTCCCATAGCTGAACCAGAACTACAACTATTATGTGGAATTAACAATCAGCCACATGAAACACAACCAAATGTTTATAATTTACAAAAGTACCTTCAATATAAAAGATTCTGAGGTTAAAATGATTACAGCAAGGCTGAAAAAAAGAGAAGGAGCTCACATAAAAACTTGCCTTGGTTGGGCAGACTCACTGGCATGAAGAAAAGCTTGGTGGTCACAGTGGAGGATAAAGACTATAGGTGCTAACAGCTCGTGCATTCCCTGAAACATAAGAGCAGGAGAAATGAGAGGGGGAGGATGCTGAGGGTCCACCAGTGGACAGAATAGGCTCAGTTAAACGCTTCTTCAACTGATCCTCACCACCAACATTTCCATATTTCGTTGAAATGCATAAAATGAAAAGCTACAAAATGAGATTTTATTTACTTTTAGAATTTGATTCCAATTCAACCACAGCACAAATTCTTCTTTAAAACATGGAGAGCAGTTCTCTTTTAAATGACACAACAAACAATAAATTGGCATGGTAGACAACCTTGCACCTGTCAGTTGCTTCACGATCTGTACTCATAAATATGAATTTCATTTATGCAAATTATAATCATGAGCTACAGTGTAAAGATCTGCAGTAAGAAGGGCAACTAAGAACTGTAGACCTAAGGAAATTACATCCAATGTTTTCATTATATAATGGCTCAAAATTAGGATGTCTGTAGATTTAGGAAGAGCTGAAGTCAGCTAGCTGGAAATGTTGGATAATAAAAGAAACAATCTTTAGCAGGTATAACAGCAAACAGTTTTCAAAGTATGATTTCAACATCTTTAATCTGAAAACTACCATAGTTTTTTTTTTCCCCTGTCTACTTCAACTATAAGGTTACTGTTCAATTTATTTAGTGAATTCACCGATTATATATTTTTTCCTTACATTGGTGCTCACCTGTGGATTACACAAATAAGCACAGAAGCAAAAAACTACATTGGTTACTAAGTTGTCTCTAAAAAAACATTATAAAAATTCATTATTTATCCATTATTGTAGAGAATAAGGCATTCCACATTAGTAATCTGCCTTGTTAACTACAAGATTTTTTCCCCCTTAAGCATCAGAGAACAGGTTTTAGCAAGTTAAAAATAGATTATAATCTTTTCTGCCTCTTAAAGTAAGTAAATTATATTTTCCTTTTGCTTAATAACTATGGATGATCTTTAATTTTAAAAAAAATAATACAAAATACCACCTTAATAAGAAATTTTAAAAAATATGGAAGCAAAGACAAGACAGAGTTTCATGGGTGGAAGTAGTGACTTCCCATGATGGAAGGGCAGACACACAACTTTCTGTACATTCTAGAAGTACCACGCCATTCTTAAAAGCTAGTCATCATCACAAAATAATATCAAAGTAAACTCTATCAGAGTTCATTTCTAAGCTACCACTAGACTTGAATTAGGACTCACTGACATTTGTATAAAATAATTTGTGACACACCGACAGCTTTCTGGTGATTAAGACAAATTACCGCACACCACTTCAATCTTTTTAAGTAACCATTTCCTTACTAAACAAACTTTGAGAGGACTATTTGACTATCCCTTAGAGGAACACAGGAGAGACACAGAAAAAATGGAATTAAGTGCTCAGTATGCTTTAAAATCATCATGAGGTATTTATTCTTCTGGAATAATCTCTAATTATTCCAAAAACCAAGTGCCATAATTTAATGATCAAAGTAATAGCAAACTGCTGTAAGAATTACTATAGATACAGAAAAGAAAAAAAAAAAAAGGACAAGGAGAAAGGAAGGAAGAAATGGGAGGGAGGGAGGAAGGAAGGCCAGGCTGACCAAAAGAAAGAAATATTAAAAACTAAATTAAAAATTAGGTATCTTTGTGGTAATCTTTTTGCCTTTTTCTGTGACTTCCTCAGGATAAAGTCCCTAGAAGCAGAATTTCTGGGTCAGTGAGTAAAGAAACTGGTTAAAGTTTCTTATATATACAATTAAGCTGCCCTTCAGAAAGAATTCCCTCACTTTAGGGCATAAAAATTGCCACTTCACACATCTTAACTTGTACTGTTTTGTTTTGTTTATGTTTTTTGAAATCCTATAAAACTTCATAGTCAAACAGTTATTTCACCCTATTTAAATGCTAGTCAGACTGACAAAAAATTTTATTGGTCATTATCATTTAATGAATTGCCCATTTTCTCCTAATAAAGAGTTCCCTTTTTCCTGATAATTTGTTACAGTTCTTCACCAATTCAGGATATTAACCTGTAGTCATTTTTATTATACCTTCCCACGTTTATCATTTGTTTTTTAATTGGGAGATCCTATGTCATCATGAAGCTCCATACTTTAAAACTATCAGATCAATACATCATCCTTCATGGCTTCTTGTTTTATTTTCATGCCTAAAAAGGCCTTCCTTATATGGAGATTAGGTGAGTACATAGTTTTCTTTATTATAGCTAATTCTTAACTGATCTGGCATTTAGTTTTGTCCTGAAAAATAAACTTGTATTTCTCTCTGCAAAAGAGTTCAACTAATTACTGAATAATCCATCTTCTCCTAAGAGTTTTGAGATGTTGTCTTTACCATATACTGAATAGTTTGTGCTGGTTTTTTCTCGACTTTTATTGGTATTCCATTGGTTTGTACATTCTTTTTAAAATAATTATTTTTTTATTATGTTATGTTAGTCACCATACAGCACATCATTAGTTTTTGATGTAGTGTTCCAAGATTCATTGTTTACGTATAACATCCGGGGCTCCATGCAGTACGTGGTTTGTACATTCTTTTTTTTTTTTTTTAAAGATTTTATTTATTGATTTGACAGAGAGAGATCACAAGTAGACAGAGAGGCAGGCAGAGAGAGAGAGAGGAAAGCAGGCTCCCTGCTGAGCAGAGAGCCCGATGCGGGACTCGATCCCAGGACCCTGAGATCATGACCTGAGCCGAAGGCAGCGGCTTAACCCACTGAGCCACCCAGGCGCCCTGGTTTGTACATTCTTAACAAGACCTTTACTACTTTAATGACTTCAACTGTAAAATATTCTATTCTTCCATATTTTCTATTCTTTTTCTCAAAATTATCTTGCCTGTCCTAATTTAATTAGAAGGTAAACTTTAGTGTCATTTAAATAAAAGGCTAAACAAAATACTGCAATTTTATTGGCACCACATTAAAATTAACTTGAAGAAAATAGATAGTTTAAAGAATAACAGACTTTCCAACCCAAGAATTTGTAAACTGCTAAGTTTCTACTAGGTTTTTGCTGTTGCTGTGGCGGTGATCTTCTCATTGGGTCTTTTCCCCCTCTATGTAATTGTCTAACTAATGGCTGCATTTTAAGAATCAGTTCTTGCCTAAGTGCATCTTCCCACCCTCTTTACATTTTCTCTTCCCTCTAGTTTCTGCAATACTATTCTCTCCAGATTCTCAGTTGCTCAGGCATCACTCACCTTCAAGTTCCTATGTCAAAAATTAACAACTACCTATGATAATGCTGAGAACATAAGAGTGAATGAAGTGAGCAAGTTTCTAACCATTATGGAGCTTGCAGTCTAGAGAGCAAGACATACAATAAAATGAGCACAGAAGTGACTAGAAACTGTGGTAAGTTTTTAATTAGAAACTGTGATATGTGTTTATTTGTAGATTAAAAAAAAATCCAGTTCCTACTACAGGTTTAGCACATAGAAGGTACTCACTCCATGGTGACTGATTAAACATCTACCTCTCCATATAGCAGTGTATTGGTAAATGTTGAACTACAATATGAAAAATGAAATAGAGTAACATTAAATCATATTTCAAATCAATAAATAAGGGTGCTCTGTGTATAATGAAAATTTAGAGTCCCCTGGATATCATTAAGACAACCTTTTTTACAAATTCACTGTTGACTTCCAACTAAACTGGAGACATTTCCTCAATTAGACTTGGAAGAGATTGTTAGTTTGACTCTTAATTCTAGACTAGCAAAACCTGATTAATAATTACAAATGGCAAGTGTATGAACATCTTTATAGGAAAAGAGAACCATTTAGAAAGAATCATCATAAATTCAATATGCTGTAAATTCGACAAAGCAAAATAAAACATAATAGATTGCCAGTATACTTATTGGTTCCCAAAATGTGTATTTTGCTGGCATTTACACCATCAGCATTTCTGCTTGCTTAAAGCCTTTATCCCTGCTGGATCGTTAGTAGTCACTGTACTCCAAACTCATGCCAGTTGAAAATAAAGGTAACGAAGTTTTCTTCATCAACAGCCTGTAGGCTCACAAAATTGAACCTGTTCTTTTATCTGCCTGTGTTCATTTAGCCCACCAAGCAGTCTTTATTAAAGCTGAGGCATCAGGCAGTCAAAGTTCATTAATACCATTTATATAATCTCTGCAGTTTCAATTAACTCAGCAAGACATTCTACTACATGATAACAGTCTCATTAATTCAATAAAATCCCATAACTATTAACAATATGGTCGATGTTAAACGGGGTGTCACCTAGTACAAAATAATAGCTTTAACAGCTTGTGATGAAACTCAAGGTTTTTTTCTTAAATTTGATCTGGCTAAATATTCAGTCCTTCTTTAGCAAGGTATTATTTCTATGTAAAGAATCTATAGGATTTTAAACATGTACAGGGAGTAATTAAATCTTATTAAGGGACTCCCAAGAGTATGTTAATGATACTTTCTTATTCAGTAATTGACTTTGTCTAAATTATCAAGAATCTGACCTTCCCTATTCCTGCCTCGTCTTTCTTATAAATGCAGAGGCCCACACACATCACTAATGTTCGAGTGCAGTTATTATGTTTTTATCCCTTGTCTGTGGAATTTGTTTCCATTATTATAACACTTCCTTATTTGACTTTTTTCTTTCTCTAAAGAAGAATGTGTAACTTGGGATAATTTTATTCTGACTTGGTTTGCTATCACTAAATCTTCTACTGTGAGGTATTTTCAAATATTGGAAAGAAGAAAGGGCACAACGAAGAGATAAGCTTGATGACAGAAGCCAACACAATGAGGAGAGAACAGAAAAACAGAAAGGAGTCTGAACTACTGGAATAACTAATGCTGCAGAACCATTTTGCCCTTAGACTTCTTGCAAAGCGTGTTAGCAACATCCTTTGAGTTCAAGTCATTCTGAATGGGATTCTCTGTTATTTGCTTCCAAAAGTCCTACACTGATATTTACTTTCTCCCAGTCTTCTTTTTGGTTTCTTTGTTTTTGCTCTTTGAACTTTTTATCTGACTTCTGGAGAGTCTATCTGGCTTGGAAAGGTCTTTCCAATCCTGCGATTATAAACAATTCCCCCACATTTTTTACAATATTTCATTTAAAAATTTCAGTTTTCATATTTATATCTTTATGCCACCTGGAATTTATTCTTCAATAAAGGTATAATTTAATCTTTTTTCTATATGGAAAGTCACATATGGCAAGTCAATATCCTTTTCTCCCATTAAAGGAAAATATCCTATCTTATCATATTAAGAATTCATATACAACTGGACCCGTTCTTAGTTTGTTCCACTGATCCATGTTGATTCCCATACTAATGTCATATTAGCTTGATCACAGAATGTTTACAAAGTTTTCATACCTCCCTTTGCCATTCTCCCCTTGCCTTACATTCTGAAGCAACTCTAACATATTTAATAATGATAATAATAGTAAATCCACCATAAAGACCAACAAGAACTCTTAATGATCACTATGTGTTTTTAACTCTACAAAGTCAATACTATTATTGTCCTCATCTTACTGACAGTAAAACTAAGATTTAGAAAATTTAAGTAAGTAAATTGTCCAGGATATGTAGCTAGCAAACGTTTGAGCTGAGATTTAAATAACAGATTTAAGCCCAGACCCAGTGCTCTTAACCCCTAAGCTGTATTATCTCCATTAAAATTATGGTAAAGCTTTTTGGCACTAAATTTAAAATGACTATGTCCAATTTTTAAAAAATCATCTCTCTCTCTCTCTGATTATCACTGGAATGATAATACATTTACATATTAATTTGGGAAGAAGTAATATTTCATGCCTTCCCATCTACAAACATACAACCACTTTCCTGTTTATTCAACTCTTGCTTTACGTCCTTCAATAACATTTATAGTTTTCTTCACATATCTTTTGCATCTATATTGTTATATTTATTTCAAGGCATTTTAAAGTTTTGGTCATCATTATGAATGGGATATATTTTTTCCATCTTCCATTCTAAAAGTGATAATCACCATGTAATTAACATGAAGGCATATTACTAGTATTAAAAAGTAAGATAAAATTAGTTCCCTTGGGTATTCTATGTATATAATAACAAATACATTATTTAGGACAACTGGAATATGACTTGGCTTATTATCTTTACTTTCTTAAATTTTATTTAAATTCAATTAATTAACATATGGTATATTATTAGTTTCAGAGGTAGAGCTCAGTGACTCATCAGTACTTTATTATCTTTAAACTCATCAAGTATATTTCGAATTAAATACATTACTCTAAGGGTGCCTGGGTGGCTCAGTCAGAAGAGTGTGTGACTCCTGATTCCAGGGTTGTGAGTTGGATCCCCATGCTGAGTGTAAGATTACTTAAATAAACTTAAAAATACATATATATATACATATATATATATATATATATATGTATATATATATACACACACACACACACATTGCTCTAGCCAAACAGGTGTTTTCTGTTATATTACATTGAAGTTAGAAAGTGATCAGTTGGACATACATTGAAAACTTTTGATTGTTAGAGAATTTATTAATTTGATTTAAATTCCCACTTACTATACATTTTGAGAAATATATAAAGTATCCAACTTTTCTCCCTCTCCGACTCCCATTTGTGTTCCCTCTCTCGCTGTGTCTCAGACAAATAAATAAGTAAAACCTTTAAAAAAAAATCCAACTTTTGTATTTTTATTGGAATACCATAAGCTTAAGTAGAAACCTAGATACTTCTTTATATATTAAATAATGTACATTTCAATGAAAGCAAAACATAATCCAACAATCTTAATCTTCTTTCCTTTAGTAATGGGATAAATATCTGGGTACTAAAGAATATCATAAATTTCAAAAAATTTGGAGGAACTTTCCGAAGTTATAGCTCCAGTAAATCTTAAAAGAGAAGAAGGACACTTGATTATTTTTTACACAGCATGTCACATATTTATAAATGCTGTATTTAGAAACAATATTTATACATACAACTCTGAAAAGTTTTATTACTAGATTGGCTTCAAAGATGCTGTTTATAAACAAACTCCCAAAAGTTGAAAGAAAAGATTGAACGCCTTATAGAAGACAATTTGGTGGAATGTCTTATAATAAGGAAGAAGCATATGTGCTTCAATGAGCTTACTTTTCTCACCATGCAGCTGACAAGCAGCTCTTTGATTGCTTTACTATTATGATACAACTTTGGATACAATAAAGGCTACATTATTGCTCTATCATTTGTCAAGCTGTATAGAAAATTTTGAGTCAATGGATGCCACCTGTACGATATTTTCATTACCTGTTTATAAAGCAACTGCTCGTTTTCTCTAGCATAACAGAAAAGAACATCTGTAAGAATTTTTCTCACATTTTCTTGTTGGAAAAACTGCATTTCAGGAAACCTGAAGAAAGAAAACAGGATTAAAACTGACTAGCAGAATTCTAAGAATTACCTTCAAACTCTCATGTTTAAGAAGTGTCAAAGGCTACTTTTAGGTGTTAGTACAAGTGTGTATTTACCATGCAACTAGCTTATGCTACTGGTGGGACTGATAGGGTAAGAGAAAAGGGGTGAGAAAAGGGAAATTATTCTATGACAGATGGAAATTATACCTTTCAACACCTAAATATTTCTTTTTTTTAATTTTATTTTTTATAAACATATATTTTTTTCCCCAGGGGTACAGGTCTGTGAGTTGCCAGGTTTACACACTTCACAGCACTCACCATAGTACATACCCTCCCCAATGTCCATAACCCCACCCCCCCTCCTAACCCCCCTCCCCCCAGCAACCCTCAGTTTGTTTTGTCAAAACCTAAATATTTCAAATGTCTCCATGTATTTAAAGTCCTCACACAGTGGATATGACAGTTTTTAAGCAAAATGAATCATGGCCTATATATTTGGGGTGTAGGATAACTTTGTTTTAGCCCATTTAGTTTTTAGGACTAGAATGTAATTTTGGATGCACCAGCTTTTGAAGAAATCATTATATTTTTTTAATGCCAGTATTAGGATTTAAATTATTATACATGACCACGCTGTTAGTTTGTCTGATTAAAATGTTGACTTCAAATGGAACAAGTTAGTCAGTATTGCTTAAACGCTCTCCAGATCAAAAATTCTACCAGGCGCTTTGAGGTAATGCGAAATAGAAAAAGGGCACAGTATCCACTTGAAAGGAGATTACATAGTTGTTGGTTTTTTAGTTTAGTTTTTTTTTTTTTTTTTTAAGATTTCATCTATTTATTTGACAGAGAGATAGAGCCAGAGAGCATGGGGCAGGGAGCGCAGGGGAAATGGCAGAGGGAGAGGGAGAAGGAGGCTTCCCGCTGAGTGGGGAGCCCCACAAGGAGCTCGATCCCTGGACCCTGAGATCATGTCTGGAGCTGAAAGCAGAGACATTTAACTGACTGAACCACTCAGGTGGCCCTACATAGTTGTTTCTAGTGAAAGAATATACAATTCTAACAATCCAAAGAACAAATACATAGCAATTTAATACAAAATGAGTACATAAGGGAAAAAGGAATGTCACCTAGAAGTTAACAGTCAGATAGGTTCAATCACAAAGAGTTTAAACAAGAATTTTTAGGAGAGGAGAAAGAGGAAGATGGCTATATCAATGGTAAAGATAGCCAAATCAGAAAGAGAGATGAAGGCACAGAAGGCAATGAGTGCTCCAAGTGTATGGCACAGTAGGGCAATCAGTATGGAGAAACAGAAGTCCTTTCATGAAGTACTGCCAGTCCAAAGCAGGATGACGAGAAAGGAGAAAAGGTGGGACAGGTCTGGAAAGAGCTCGGAATTGCTGAATCTACAAACAAAGAAAAACCAACCAAGTGACTCTACATTTTTGAATAGGTAAGTAAAAAAAAAATAATATTTGAGTAACTCTAAGTGGAAATAAGCCTTGGAAGAGGAGAGATTACAGGAAGGAACAAGATGGCATTATGATGAAGTGAAGTGGAAAAAATCACAACCCTGAGAAGAAAAGCCTGCATTCAAATTCATGTTGCATAATTACTAGCTACATAATCTTAAGTAAGTGATTGCTTAACTTCCCCGCCCATTAAGTGGAGGGAATAATACTGATTTTGTGATCAAGATGAGATCATGTTAAAGCACCAAGAACAGTGCCTGGCAAGCAGTAAATGTGCAGGAACAGAGGTCATTAATAGTCTTTGAGTATTGGTACTTTAGGGGATAAATAAGTGAATTAGGTGGCTTTGGGGAGGCTGAAGAGGAAGAGTACCTAAACCATGGAAGGACAGGGCATTATCAAAACAGAAAAATACTGCTTAATGAGTCTTTTAAAGAGCAAAAATGGCTGTTTTACTTCAGACTGTAATGGCTAACTAACTTGCTCTGGAGACTTCAGCTGTTTGATGCTTCATTCTGATCCTTTTCTTGCTCCCTGTGAGAGTTAATGACTTTCTCCCCAGTCTAGGCTGGGCTCCCGGGTTAACTATGCAAGTGGTTTGTGAAGCATCTCGTTTCTGGTCCTAATTTTTATAATAAATTGAAGCCTATTTTATCTTCATCTGTTCATGTGACTTTCGCTTGAAATTCCCTTGGATGTGCAAATGTCCCCAAACACATATATTTGGTTTTATCTCTAGCAAAGAAGACCTCTTTCTTGGATTGCCAGTAATAAACAACCCATGGATTTGAGCGAGATGACCTCATATTTCTCCATGAATCTTAATGTGATGACCCCTCCAGATAGTTTCTACTCAGGCAAGGGAGTGTGAGTAGGCATAAATGACCTTAGCTCCCCAAAAAGAGAAAAACTAACCTGAAAGTAGATTCAGAGCAAGAATATTATATCATAGAAGCCAAAGGTGTTCCAGAAAGATGTCAAATGCACAGAACCAGGGAAGAAATAAAACCTCTCTTTAAATGACTTCTTTGGGACAAAAGAGAGTTGATAAAGCCCTTAGAAGTCAAATATCCCAAACTAAAGTAATCAGGATGAAAGACAGGTAAGCAGTTAAATTGCTAAAGAGAAACTTCTTGGGAAAATTTAGTCACTAAGGTAAAAACAGATTAATCCTTTGGAGAAGTGAAATTGTTTCTCCTTCTTCCTCATTAGATGACTTAAATCTAGCCTTATCTGTTTTTTTTTTTTTTAAATTGAGGTATAATTGACATACATTATATTAGTTTCAGGTGTAAAACATAATGATATGATATTTGTATACACTGCGAAACGATCATCACAATAAGTCTAGATACCATCCTCACCATGTCTTTAAGTAGGATTCTTGCCCCATAATTTAGATCACATGGCTTAAATGATTTTGCACATCCCCTCCATTAACTATTCTTTGAAAATTTTCCATGCACACCAGCACAACCAAATTTTGCGTAGCTGATGCAATCTGAACTGATTATGCAAGAAAGTACTAAAAACTGCAACATCCACTTTGTAACAAATACCATGTACTATATAGTAAGAGTTTAATACCTAACTACTAAAAATGTAAATTATATTACATACCAATTCATAGTTTCATTTAAATGCATACTAACCACTTGCAAGATTAAAAACAAGAGAGCTACAAGAATTAAATTGCAGGTAGATAATTTAAATTACCCACTTTTAGCAAATACCCAATCAACTAAAAATGTGTATTAGGCAGACATAGCATATCTACGCAACAGCACACTATCTACAACACTACTCTACAACCCTAAAGTGCCAATTTGTGAAGTTTCATGATACCCTCTTTTTTAGAGAAGTATGACTTGCTCTCTAAATTCTGATGGTTTCACAGCATCAAATAAAGTAAGGCAGAAAGACAGAAAAGTTTTTTAAAACGGTATAAAAGTTTACACTACTTAAGAAGCTGGAAAAAGAATTTATATTCAGAGAAGTTTTAAGCTGAAGAAGTCTTTGGAGATTAGCCAGTCTAAGTCAGATGGTCACAAGTAAGGATTCTGCAGCAGAGAGATGCACACCTGCCCCCACATACCTGGGTGGTTAGGGCAGCAGTACTTCCCCACTGCTTCGCTCATCAATTATAAGTGAGTCAGACATACACATTTAAGTAAAATTGCATGAGTTCAGAGTTACCAAGAAGAACTATGTCATGAGGTTGATGAATACACCTGAATAACAACATATTTCCCACAACAAATACTTGGTTGTCTTATTGTTAGGCTTCACACCAGAAGATGTACCATCTACATGGATCAGAAATAAGGGAGAAAAGTACAGTGAGTAGTTTTTCTAGGAACTGTAATAATTAGTTTGGGTTTTTAAAAAAAGATTTTATTTATTTACCTAGTTGAGAAAGAGGTGGGGGGAAGGGGGAGGAGCACAGGGAAAAGGACAAGGAGATTCCATGCCTAGCACAGAGCTGGATGAGGGGCCTGATCTGGGGCCCCCCACAACACTGAGATCACGACTGGAGCTGAAACCAAGAGTTTGATGCTCAACCGACTGAGACCCAGGCCCCCCAGTAATAATCAGTTTTTAATGATATGTTTTCTGTTTCAAAATAGCTTCCCTGCCATCCATTACATGTTTTTGTTTGTTTGTTTTATTTTTTAACCCCGGGCCATCTGGTATTGACTGAGGATAGGTAAAGTAATTTGAACACCATGGGGCAAATTTACTTCTGAAACAATAATGAAAATCACAGAATATAGACCCAAGCAGGCCTCAATGTAAATGTTAAGATTTTGAAAATCAATAGTGACTCTACACTTCCATTAAAAAAAAAGAAAGAAATGGTAGTAACTTCCATAAAGATGAGGTAGAGAAAAAAAAACTTGAGTTAAAACTGTGTTAAGTTTATGATTCAAAACAATTATCTGATAGCAAATAAAAGGGAACAAAATTCATATCAAATGGGCCTAAAGATAAATTTTGTTATTATCAGAAAATGGAAGCCCAAGAGAAGAAATTTCTAAATTTGGCCAGAAAATGAAAATGGTAAATAAGTGAGATTGAAACACTGACATAGATAAAAACCAAAGAGAAAGTAATATTTAAGTACTCCATGATGAAATTTAGACAATACAGTCTAAGATTTTTCTTTTTCTTCTTTTTATTTATTTACTTATTTTTACTGTATCCTAGACTTCTTTAAGAACAAAGTAATGAGTGATGTGGGGATTAAAGCAAGAGCATCCTTGAGCTTTACCTTCCCTCCAACTAGTTCCCCCCACCAAACCTCCCTGCCCCCACACCCTTCATGTTCCCAAATCTGTTCTCAGTGAATAAAGAATTTAATCCCAGAGCCCTTGTACAAACCCCAGGTTCTCTTTCCCTAGCCCTCCCCCTTCTTCTGCCCCCCATTCCTGGGATGGGCAAGCACCGCAGTTTGAATGCACAGGATAGCCCAGAGCAGTGACAGACACAGAAGGAAAGGCCTCACCATCAGGGAAAGG